ATAAGATATACTTGGACAAGAAGATAGCGAGCCTATAAGCCTGAGACCTCGGAATTCTTCTCACGAACATACGCTGTGCAGGCGTGAACACACATGTGCCTGAAGAATTTTCAAGCAATAAGTTGTAAGGTGCTAAGCGCGGGGCCGATCTGCATGCTTTAACCCGAAAATAGGGACCTTTATGATCTAAAGGATGTTGAGACGACGCCGGAGGTGTTCTATCTCGGGTTACTGACGCATCTGCGAAGTACTTAGGTCGAAGGTTCAGTTCTGTTGAACGTCGGGCGTAAAAACAAGAGGTAGGTACGTAACCCCTCTCGAATGGCAATTTTTATTCCAGAGAATAGTCAGCTGGGCGACAGACTGTTCTCGTTCATTCTCAAAAGAAGACCTTCCTGAGATGCATGTAGTTTTGGTGCACGAGGACGCATGCTTTTTTTTCCTATCACCTCCTCCGACCACATCTAGCGGGATTTCTTAAGGAAAGAGGGGTTTTGCAGCTTTCCTAGAAATCTGCAGGAATTCCTGCTTGGGCAATCGGCTTACTGTATCAGGTTTGGCAGACTCCATGCGCTGGAGCAGGCTGGGCAGGTAGATCAACCCAGGAGTGATTGAATTCACGGTTCTAGGCGGAGGGGGCCTCGTAGTTCCGTTGGCTAGAGTGTTTGCTGTACTCAAGCCTTGCCCTTGGCTGGCGTAGGTTCGAATCACACAGCGAAGCTGCGAGTTTTTCGAAATTGTGTAAAATGAATTATTGCAATCTGCCAAACCCCTCCTAAGATGTGTTCCTAGGTAGTTCAGATGTTTAGTAGAGCAGCTTACAACTGGTATCTACCAAGTGCTTTGATTAGCAGTTCGAATATTATAGTGGTGATACCGTTGTCATGACAAAGTTCCTTGCAAGTATGTCGCGGGCTATAACCCAGGCAGTTGTTTTCCATCGCACGCACGGAAATCGATCAACGGTCTTGAAGGCGAGTGTGCAGGCGTGCTGATAACTTTTGAACTTACGATGGAGCATACTGCTCATGAGGCGATTATAAGGCGAAATTTAGCATCTTCAGCAATCAGACGCATGCTGTTGTTGTCGAGTCTGGGGAGTTGGCTTCTCAGCGCATATTCCTCATCAGAAACAAGCTGACGCGCACTTAAACTATCACGGTGCGCTAAAAACCATGGCGTCGGATACCGTCAACTCCTCTCAGTATGGAGTCGGACTGCAATGGCTAGTTTTTCGGTGTGGCCTACATGACACTCTTATACAGTTTGAATCCGAGCCATTTTGATGGGCAAAATAGCTGATTTACTATGCATTGATAAGGCGGACACGCAATGTGTAGATGGGATCTTTGTGCCCCGAGGCGGTCCGCGTGATAGATGTGGTGGGCTAACACGGGAGCTAGATCAGGATACGGCAGACGTTATCGGATTTCGTCCCCACAGCCATCTTAAGGTGAAAAAGGATAGGTGGGTGCAGGAATCTTGGGGGGAGGGGAATAGGGAGGGTGGAATCGATGGGGACCGGTAGGAAATGCCGGTGCAGCGACGGCAATGATACGTAAATCGGGAGCAGGGGGAAGGAGGAGCGATTACAGACACACAAAAAACAGCCAGCCGACCAACTATGCCAAACAAACGGCGAAAAATTGCAACAACGTAACAAACGCCTGGATAATTACTAAATATCAAACGGCGACAGTTCTTGATCCGAGTCTCCGGTGTAGTTATCAAGAGGTCTATAGGAAAGGCTGTAGAGGGAAGGGGAAATGACATAAAAAGACACATAGGTAGTGGAGCATATATTTGTAATAACGTGCTTGTTAGGAAAACTACTAAGATCACAGTATTAATGATGAGGAGCAAATAGTAAATATAGCGGAAAGTGCGGGTAGGAGGAGGAGGAGAGGGAGAGGGAAAAACGCCCAACTACAGGAGTGTTTCCGTATTGTTAAAAGCAAAAAAATGAAAACTAGAGTAGTTACGCCTTTAGTCGTAGTTATAGTTGGATGAACTAACCGAATTTCGACAGCGGAAAAACAAAAACAGTTATGATGAGGATGCACGCGATTGATTACCGTTTTATACATTACCTAGAACAATGCAAAATAATATGCTAATCTGTAAACAAAAAATACACACGACAAGAACCAGTGTAAATAAACAGGGCACGAACCGGAGTAGTTTTTTTCTTTAGGGCGGGCTATTAGTTGAACCTACAGGATGCGCGCATATCAGGCCGAAACCAAGAAGCCTGATGAACGGAAAAATTGTCCTTTTGTGAAAAAGTTGACTGACTGAACAACGAGGGTTGGCAGTGAACACTTGTTCAACATATCTAATACTTAAAGTATGCTTGCAGTCACCAACAGTTAGGTTGATGCTACCATATTGTCAAAAATTTAGTAAATGAAGCATGAGGGGGAGTCCTAAGTGTTAGTGAGCAGAATATGATCGAATGGACACTTCTGCCAGTGCATGTTTTAGAAGACACTGACCACCGAGGCAGATAAATTAATATGCATTCATGGTATTAGGCAAGCATGCGCCACATGGCCAAGATGCTAACCTTTGAGGATTGCATTCTCAAGACTCTCGTTCCCATGCAAAGGAAACCATATCCGGTCAGCTCAAAACGCTCAAATAACAGTGGGTGCACAATTACAGGGAGAGAGAATGTAGTACGGGTTGCGAAAGCAAATGGGATCTGGTGAGGAAAAAACCTGCAAAGAACATATGTGCAGGGTAGAGGGACGGACGACACCGAACTCACCGATTGATCTTGCTCCGCAGAGTGAGCAATTCCCGCTCAGAAGTCTCCTTCTGTTCAGTTATCTCCTCCAGGTCACGCTGCAGACGACGGCGTTGCGACTTCAGTTGGTTAATTTCGTCCTCCATTGATTCCATTGCTCCCTTGAAGCGCTTCGCAGCACTCTGCGCCTTCTCTACTTGCTCCTTCATCTGGGTTGAGGAGAGTTTTTCTTCGTCCAGCTGTAAAAACAAGGCAGAAAATCAATTGAGCATGTTGCGTATCTCAAAAAAGCAAAACGGTGTGGTATTATAGCTACTCGGGAACATGTGTTACCGCAGGCAGTCATGGTTAAGTAAACACAGTACCTGGCACAGGTTGCGTTGGCTTGGAAACGTTTTCTTCACTGTAAACATGAAGTGATTAATGGATGAGTCCCCCCCAAAGAGACAGCCCAGTTGTCAGCTGGGCTAATGATATATGGCGTTTGAGCTGCGCTA